TTATATATAAATTAGAGGTTGGCTGGGTGGGGGCCATGCCCCTCCCAAACTCTGGCTCCGTCACTAGATACAATTTTAAATTTAAAATTATTCGATCATATTTAATCTAAAACAATTGATAATAATTTTATTTTTTACGAATTTTTAAAGGTTAAATATTTTCTAACCACAAATGTAAAGTTGAATTTTTTTGGTTATTTGCGTTTCATCATTTAAGTAATGAAAGTTTGGCGTTTTATTAACTTATGCAATGATGTGAATTCCCGGATATGATATATATCATCATCATGGTTGGATTTGGAGAGTAGTACAAAACAAACGAAATGTAGTTACTTTTTTCAACCACGAGTTTGGATTTTACTGTCCGACGTGCACCCTATATAGAGCTAGCATGTCTATTTCTTGTTTCCATTACCCTATTTTTTAATCTTTTTTTATTTATTAGGTTTTTGGACATCTAATCTTGATTCGCTTCACAATCTATTTTTTTGTCGACCTAAGTTTTCATTAGAAACTTGTTTGTCCCATTCGACAAGTAGTGGAACTAACCACTTGGTCAAATTCCTCAATCGGTTGAAGTTTAACTATATTTTTTATTGAAAATTAAGATAAATTACACAAATAATCTTCCAACTATAGGGTATTATTTTATTAAGTTCATCGATCATTAAAAGTTTTAAAATAGTCATTCGACTATCAAATGTTACTTTGTAGAGTTCATCAAGTATTAAAAGTTACAAAATGATTACGCGATTACTCATATGATAAAAACTCGTCATTTTCCATTAAAATTTGACTACATTCTGAGCTGAACGTTAATATGCTCATTGTGATAGAATAAAATCTAATCCTAGAATCTCAAATGACTATCATATCTCAGTCATTATGTTAATGTTAAGCTCGGATGACTGATAACTTTTTAACGAAAAATGAAGAGTTTGAAACATAATGAATAGTCGGGTGACCATTTTATAACTTTTAATAGTCGAGTGACTCAACAAAGAAATACTCTATAGTCAGAGAACCATTTTATAACTTTTAAAGGGACTTAATAAAATAGTATACTATAGTTGGGATCATTTTTGTACTTTACCCTAATAAAGTTATATTGTTAGCGAAAATTAAAGAAAACAAATATAGAATTAAGAAGAATCAAATTCAAGTTTGAATATATAAAAATGTATTATTGTCATATCTCATCTATAGGTCATGTTAGGCTGTATCTCTAGAGCTATGTCTCCTTTGCATAATTACAATCTTTTAACTTGATATCAAGTGGTATATATGATCTGCAATCTATATCTAATTGTTAAATTTATTAAAATCTTTCAACTAAAGAGTAGTCATCATGACTCTTAGAATATATAAAAAAGAGGTTTCTTCTTGTTTTCTCTCTTGTATTCTTTAAATCTTTAAAATCAAACGACATAAATAATTATAATTCGATTATGAACTACTTATAGTAGTTCTTTGCCCAAATAAAAAAAGATAAAAGCTAACCCTTATTATTATTATTATTATTATTATTATTATTATTATTATTACCTTTTATGCCTTTTTACGAAAACTTTGGAGGAAAGGGAAGTCGGGGTTGGAATGGGAATTTAATCTTTTATTTCTATGAAAAATGCATTACACATTGTAAATAGGAATGTCATTGTCTTTCAATCTTTTCATTTCCTTTGTGATAACATTAATTTTAGAGCCGTAAATGTTGAACATTGGTTCCTCCTTTTTTCCATTTATCACCAATTAGGTGTTGAACTAATACTTAATGTTGCATTTAAATTATTAGACTATGGTCTTAGTGATTTTCATAGTCCGATAGATATAACTGAGAAAACTTTGATCCAAATATAAATCATAATTCAATTCATCGAGGTTAGGAAAAAAATAAAAATATTAAGTGCACTAGTGTATTTTATTTTCACGAAACGAATTTATATTTGAATATTTGAAGATGATATTGTTCGAAATAATAGTCATAAATAAGGATGGATATGAGTCGAGTTAGACAAGATTTTTATTAATTTGACCCAAATATTATATCTCTACCCATCATAGACCCGATTCGGATTTAGGGAGACTACATCGACCCGATTTTGGGATAAAAATCTATACCTAACTCAATTTAACAAACACATGAAAAATATTATTTTTATTCAATAAAATAGGGACCTAATGAGAGAAAAACATAGAAAGAGTGATATCACTGTAATTACATTACCTTATCCATAAAAAAATTCAACTTGAGATAACTCAAACTTATGATCATATAGAGTCGAGTAAGAACCCATCAAGTATGGATCTTATAACCATCCTTAATCATAAACTCTGAACATGAATGTATAGAAAAATAAATGCATAAATGGAAAAGCTAGGGTCATCCATGGCCATATACATTGAGGCGAAAAAGTGTTGGACAAAAGTAGGGCTAGTTTTGGGGCAAGCAAAAATGGGTGGGTAGCAAGGTGCATGTTGAGAGCCACAAAGGAACAAAGGATGCTTATATACATATCTACAAAATGCACTAATGTCATGGCACCTGTACCAGGTGCCAACATTTTCTTTCTTATCTTTCTTCTTCTTTTTTTCAAAGCACAAAATGATTGAAGAAAAAATTCACAAGCCCCCATCTTCTTGAACATATATGTGTATGTCTATAGCCCTAAATCAGATAGGGGACTTGATGCAAAACTTGAACCAAAGGATCATAGACCTTTTTCTAGGGTTGTAGGGGGAAATCGAGTGCTTTCTTTTTATTCCATTCTTAAGGACACTATGAGAGACCCCCCCCCAAATGGTAGATAGGGATGTAACTCCATTATGTACAAATATAATATTATGATATGAACAACAAATTGATTGATTAATTAACTTAATTAAAGTAGATGGGGAACATTGAGTGGATTGAATCAACTTGACTTGCTTTTGAGCGTGATTATTCAAAAGCTCATTTACAACAAATCTTGCTAGTTAAACATTTCCCTAATAAGATTCTACAAGAGTTTGGTTTCTAAACGATGGAAAATCAAAGGTTTGATTTGGTTTTAGAAAACATAGTTCATTTGGTTTTAAAAAAAATATGGTTCATTTTTATTTCTTAAATACTGGAATCAATTAGTTTAATGGAATGGTATACTAGATCCAATAAGATCAAAGGTTCGAATCTAGACTCTTGTGAATAGGGAAAACAAGGTGGGAAGAGTCGCCCTCATATTGTGCTTTTACGGTAACCGATTCGAATTATTCGATTACTAGATCATGTACAGTTGGTTATATCAAAAATAGATAAATTTAAGAATAAATTATATTGGTAATCATTGAACTTTTAGGATGTTTTTATTTTAGTTATTAAACTTTTAAAACTTTCATTATAGTTACTAAACTTTTAATTCACTTTCATTATTGTCACTGTTATTAGGTACCACTAAAAAATGTTGACACGACACAATAAAGTCTTATTTCTAAACAAATCCTAATTTTTAAAATTGACAACTATCACAAGGGTTGATTTTTCGATGAACAAAGCAATCGTCTGTCAATCCCAATGGTAGGAAGACTTTGTTTGACCAGAAGATTAATTTTGTTAAGCTGATCCAACAGTTGACAATGAAATATTGAAAAGTTTTTGCTTATAGTTTTTGTATTTGATTGAGATTTGAATTGATTAGATGGTTTTTTTATGAGTTTGAACGGAAAGAATGAAAGAGAAGAAGAATAGTTTGGTGATCTTTTTATCAGAAAAATCACCAAATGGCGATAGAAACATTGAAAGGAGGCGACGATCAAATAAAAACTAAAAACTATTTTTTATTTTCCACTTAACCTTAAGATCAACTTAAAACCAAGCTATAAAATCTTCTAACCAAACAAAATCTTCCCACTGTTGAGATTGACTGACGACCACTTCATTCATTGAAAAATTGGCATTTGGGGTAGGTGTCAATTTGGAAAATTAAGGTTGTTTAGGGGAAGAAGAATATGTCATACCAACATTTCTTAATGATAGTTAACAATAGTGACCGTAATAAAATTAAATAAAAAATTTAATGACTATAATGCAAGCTTGAAAAGTTTAGTAATTAAAGTGAAAACACCCTAAAAATTCAAAGACTGCTAGTATAATTTTATGTTTTCATAAAGTAAATAGAGTGTTAATTTCCTCGAAATTTTATGCCACCTTCGCGATTAATGTAGCTATTAGGGTGTGTAAAAAATTCAATCCGATTTATTTCTTCTATTGATCTGATTCAAAAATTTAAATAATATCAATTTTTTAAAAAAAATTTGAGTAATTTGTAAATATCTGAAAAATAGATAATTAGACTAAATATGAGTGTTTAAATTTTAATTTCAAATTAAAAAAAATCAATAAGAAAATTGAGTTTTTAGAGTTTAGATAAGCTATAACCTAATAAATATGTTTATCTTGAATTTTTGAATGTTGAACTTAAGAATTATGGTGTTTATTTATTTATTATGTATTAATAATTTTTCGATAAATATTGTGTATGAACAATTGAATATATATATAGTAGAGGTATAAAGGATGTTATTACAAAATGTAAAATTTAAATTTAATTGTTTTTAAATTAAATTTTATGTTAGGATTCAGATATCTTTTTGAAAATTTTAAATATCTGACTTTTTAATCACAAATTTAGTGATATAAATTTAGTGACATTCAAAATTTTGTATTGAATAATGTCTTATATCTAAAAATGTACGCCGCTAATGAGTATTAGAGTTGTAGAAACTTTTTTAGATTATTTTGAAGCAAAACCAAGGGTAAAGTACATACGAGATCATTGAATTGTACGGAAATTTTATTTTGATTCGTTAAACTTTTAAATTTTATAAAATGATCATTACTTGTTTTTAAAAATTATAAAATCATCATTAAAAATATTAACATTTTAAAATTAATTATGTCATCGTAAATAATTATTTTGATACAATTGAGTGATACCTAAACTTTAATGAAAAAGGATAAGAAGATGAGTGGTAGAATCCCTTCCTTTAGGAAAGCTGGACGGTCCAACTTGGAGGGGTGTTTAAAAATTGCACAGCATGGAATCGACAAACAACAAAAGTATTGCGGACAGTCAACAAAGGTAAATCCGTAGTCGCCATGTCAAGACAAACCAATTGTTTTCCAATCAATCTGCTGAACTTTTGCATCTAAAGACTGCTTTCTTCTTCTTTTTTATCTGCACCCGTCAATATGTTTTCACAAAGTAAAACCCATCCGCGACCCGGAGGTATTTGATCGTTATACAGTAATAATGACATCGTCTGAAATTATTATTTTTCTCACGATACTTACAATGACCGTAATAAATTCGATCGCAACTATAATTTAAATCTTTGATGGAGAATAATTGAAATCGAAGGTCATAGAATCGCAAATGATGCAAAGATGGAAAACAAGGGAAGTGTGGTGTTAGACTTTGAGAGTGATTAAAATGTAGTATATGTTCAGAATATTTCTTAACTTATTTGGCAATGCGTATATATCCCACAGACGCAGATGTTCGAATTTGAAATTATTACGGAGAATAAAATTTTCTTTAACCACTTATACCACTTGATGTTACTTTTAAAATCATTTGGACTAAAGTAATGCTAACTGACATGAGAATTAATCTTGAAGATGTTCTTAAGATCGTATGACAACACTAGTACATTAGCAATATCAACAAACTCTGTTCTATATGGGAACCGAAACTATTAAGGGCATGGGAGGGGTTGTGCCCCCTCCCCCATCTCAGCAATTTTTTTATTAATTTAAATATTTATGGGATAATTATGAAATTTTCCTCCCTAATCTTAACTCCGTCTTTGGTTCTATATCCAAACATAAAACATGTGGACCATAATTTATATTTTGTTGATGAGAAAATTGTGTCACAAATATTATACGATAACTATGCACTTGCTCAAAACCAGATAAATGATGCGTTAATTAGGGAAAGACACATGATTTTATTTTAAGGGGTAAACTTAAATTTTTAAAATTTTATGAGGAAAATTTGAACTTATAAAATTTAGGGGTAGAAAACAAATTTTCAATAGAAAATATATAGAAAAAATCTAAAATATAAAATAATTCTAAATTTTCAAGAGCGACTATCCCTCGGTTCATCCATGGTGTTAACTAAACCTTTGGATGGTGGTGAGCATTCAATCGAGTCAAGTTGAATAAAAAATTCGAGTTATTCGAGTTGACAAGTCGTATTTTACAACTCGAACTTAACTTGAAATTTTTTTGAGTCGAGTTGAGTTTAAAAAATTCGAGTCGAGTAATTCAAGTTTCTGTACTAATTTTATTATAATTATTTATAGTATTATGACAATGATTTGTTTCAATTTTTTTACTTTCTCTATCCATATAAGATATAGATATTTTATATTCTTTTCACATTAAAATGTTATTTAATATATCAAATACAAGGCATCAAAAAAAATATAAAAAATACATTCTAAAATTATGAAATATATTCGTAATATTATATTTCAAAGAAAGTATTTTGAGGGTAAAATGTTGATGAGAGTATAAATGAGTCAAAGAATGATGTGAGGAAAGAATTTGTAAAATTTGTAGTAAAACGACCAAATTGAGTAAAATGCAGAGTTAAGGGACTAAATTAAGAGAGAGATTACATTTTTAGTAAAAAAGTAAGAATTGAAGTTACATAGGTATCCTATTATGGTATATGAGCATGTAGTTCAAATTTGACAAAAACGAATATAAAATAAGAATGAATTGAAAAAAAATAAAGAAATTATGAAAATTTGAGGGACTAAATTGAAAAATAGAAAATTTGTTATAAAAAAGAGGAATTTATATATGTATTCTACGATGGTTTAGGAAAATGTGGTTCAAATTTGGTAAAAACGGACTTAAAATAAAGGATGAATTGAAGAAATAAGGAAATTATAAAATATTGAGGACTAAATTGAAAAAAAAATTATTAGAAAAAGGAATTGAAAGTACGTATGTATACTACGATAGTTTAGGAGCATGTGATTCAAATTAGGTAAAAAAAAAGAGTCAAAATAAAGGATGAATTGAATAAATAAGGAAATTATAAATATGAGGGACTAAATTGAAAATTTGTTATCAAAAAGAGGAATTTAAATTACACATGTATTATACGATGGTTTAGGAGCATGTAATTCAAATTTGATAAAAAAAATAAATTTACAATAAAAGATGAAATGAAGGAATAATGAAATGGGGACTAAATCATAAAACAATAAAAATACTTAGTCAAATTTTTTATTTTCGAGTAATTTGAAATTTGAAATTTTCAACTCGATTTGAACTCGAAAATTGAATTGATAATTCGAGTTGACTCGGATAACTCAAATCGAATAATTCAAAATTAAAAAAAAATTGAATCGAGTTTTACTCGCCTTATATTTAGTTGTTCAAAGTTTTTAAGAATTTTGAAAACTACGATTATTGTTGATTTATCAGAAATTAAAGTCCGAGAGATGGGAAGAAAGTTGAAGGAGTTAGGCCGTTGGGCTTTTAGTTTGTATTGGGTCGTTAATATGTTTTTTGGGTTGTATGTTGGGACCAAGAAAAAAAGTCAAGATCAATTCTTTGAATTTAAGGTAATCTCTCTCATATATCTGGTAAATCAATTCTTTGAATTTAAGGTAATCTCTCTCATTTATCTGGCAAATCAATTCTTTGAATTTAAGGTAATCTCTCTCATTTATCTGGTAAACTGATTTTTTTTTAATTAAGCTAAGGTGTTTTTAAAAGAGTACCTATTTTAAATACTCTCAATTATTTAAAAACAAATGCTCAATTATTTTGATGCAGTCGTTAGTGCTTAAACTCGTGACTTTAAGAATAACAACGATTCCTTTAAGCACTGAGATTAGTTGGTTCATGCCGGTATACTTGATCTAAATTCAATTATTCTGATCAATTTATTTGAATTAAGATCTGCTACGAATTAGAATATGGTGACCTAAACTCTATTTGAAACTGAAAACAAATTATATTGAATTAAAACCAACTAGAATTCACCGAGACCTATATGGACTCGTACACAATTTAACTCGAATTAATTTTCACTCGATTCAAAAATAGTATAAATTTAATTTTCTCAATTTCAATTTGAATATAACATTGATTTAATTTTTAATATGATAATTGATTCGATGTGAACAAATAATTTATTTTGATTATTTATCTATTTTTCAACAATATGATGAGTAATAAAATTATGTATATTTTATTCTCTTTTTACATTATACTACTAATTAACAATAATCTCCAATAATAATTTAATAGTTCAATATCATCTTTCCTCTTTTGAATGACTATCTTCATATATATAATTTGACAATCTCTAATTTTTTAAAAGTATTTGATATAAAAGATTAAAAAATAAAATTAATCATTATCCACATCTTTAGTTTATGTGATTAACTTTAATTGACATCACTTAGGCTGTAAGTTATAATTAACTTAAAAAAATCTATTTTATAAATAGAAATTAACATAAAATGTAGTTATAAATCAAGTTAAAATATATACATTCAACTGCTCTAATATATCAAATTCAGTTAGAGACGGATGCACTAAGCCTCTATAAGATCAAGTGCATCCCATTATTTTAGAAAATTTGTTAAATTTAACTTAATGTGTTAAAGATTTTTTTTGCATACCCATTATTTTTAAATAAACAAAATTAAAATTTTGTATCACATTCTTAAATTTCTGAATTTATTACTGAAATCAGTTACATTAAGTTTCTTATTGATAATGTTGAATTCTAAACATTAAACGACTGAACGATTATGAGTTGAAATATATGATAAAATTGATAAATAAAAATCATATTATTTTATAAGCATGTACCAATAATTATATATATTCAATTGGACTTGTATCTAACTCAACTTGAAATGACCCAAAGAACCATATTTTTTTTTGGTAAACAAAAGTCTATTAAAGGTCCTTATATTATGTATTTTGATGGAAATGTCTTTATATTTTCAACATTTACACTATTTTACTTTTGGAAATCTGCAACTTCAGTTCCGACTTCCGAGGCCATTTTTCCCGTTAATTTTATTTGATGCAATACATACACATCGATTTTTATATAATTATATAACTTTTTGTACATTTTAAAAATAAACCAGGAAAATGTATAATATTATTTTATTTAACTATAAAAAACCCAATTTGTATGTCAGACATCTAATTATTTGATAAAATTAACAAAAAAAATAACTTCAGACCTGAAAATACACATTTCAAAAAGCAAAAGACTAGACATGCTCAAATTAAATAATGGAGGTATTAAATCTTCCAAAAAAAAAAAAGAAAATCCATCACCAAATTGTCAGGAACAATAGAGTTTTTAATTGGATTTTACAGATTTAATATTCTAAAGAGATATTTTCCGTCAAGAAATCTGGGAATGCATGCACTTTGAAGAGGAACGAAACAAACCCAGAAATTTAAAAAAAAATTATTGCAAAGGATTTCTGTTTTGCTGTTTTCTCCAACGAAAAAAAAGTGGATTAATTGAAGGGAGTTTTCTTTTCTTTTCAATTGATTTTAGAATTAGTTCGAGAATGCAGACGTTTGGTCAGACGGAGATTAACTGGTACAAGAACGTATCTTTATTCGTTAATCTCTTTAATTAATTTTAAACTTGATTTAATCTATTTGATCCGATTTTAGTTTGCTCTTATGCTTTGAATGAACAGAATTACTTCCTTTTAGTGAAAAGTTTGATTCTGTAATCAAGTTTTGGGTTTAGTTTCGCTTTATTAGGCTTGGGTCTATGCAACAATGTGAGTTTTAGCTTATCTATTTCTGTGTGCAATTGGTTAAGGGTTAGAATCAAGATTTTATTTTTACTGAGCTGCTCAAATGATTGAATCATTTCTCTAAGATGTCTTTTCATGGTTTGTTTTAGTTCGATATGGATATTTTTGCTGTTTGAGAAATCAGTGAGGAGGACAGGATCTTAGATGAATAGGGGAGAAAACAGAGTATCCATGTGTTACGTTGGATGAATGTTGCCTCTTCAATTGTGAATATCAATGTGCTAGTGTTATTCTTAACATTTTTCGGCTTTTCTCCCCTTTAACTGCGTGTTTCGTGCGATAAATTGCTCTTCATTTCATCAATTTTTGATGGCATTATTAGCTGATGGAACCTCGTTCAATTAATAATTAAGAAGTTTGAATTGGATAGGTTTCTTAGTGAAAATCTCAAGGGCGATCCTTGTAAGATGATCTTGCTTTCCTAACTCCCTTTTGAGTTATCTTGATTGGTATTCTAGTGTGATCGGGGATTTGCAGATAGTTTCTTTTTCCTGCTGTAAATTCTTTCATGCTTACTAGTTTCTTTTGTTGATTCAGACTCGACAAACTAAATTTTACCTTGTAGGAGCTGGAATCTTTACCGGAGTTACAGTAGCATTGCACCCAGTCTCTGTTGTAAAAACTAGGCTTCAGGTTGCTTCAAAGGACACTGTTGACAGAAACGCCTTTTCAGTTATCAGAGGAATACTGAAAACAGATGGAGTCCCTGGTCTCTATCGAGGGTTTGGAACAGTCATCACCGGTGCGATTCCTGCCAGGGTGATATTTCTAACTGCTCTGGAAACTACGAAAGTAGCTGCTTCCCGTATGGTTGAACCATTTAAGTTTTCTGAACCCACACAAGCCGCTATAGTGAATGGAATTGCTGGAATGACTGCATCTCTTTTTGCTCAAGGTGTTTTTGTTCCAATTGATGTGGTCAGTAGCTCAGATTCTTAGATGAGAATTTTTCTTTCTAGCTTAATTTATAAGCAAAATTATATGCTGCAGCCTTCACCCAGTTTGATGAAATTGTTCCCCCCGCTGTAAAAATAAAAATAAAAATTATATGCATTCTTGTGGTAGGTGTCCGAATTTTGTCCGTTCTCCAGACTCTCTTAAAATGCTTTAGTGCGGAACAAATTCCACTCCATTTACTAAATATGCTGTCCTACTTATTGCTCTTTATCCTTTAATTAAAGCTGAAAAAAGGAAAACTTTCCTTATCATGAATTATGAGCAGATTTGTCAAAAGTTGATGGTACGAGGATATTCAGGCCATGCAAAATACATTATAAAGTTTGATGGAATCCGAGGGTTATACAGAGGATTTGGTCTGTCTGTCATGACTTACTCTCCATCGAGTTCTGTATGGTGGGCTAGTTATGGTTCAAGCCAACGGTTTATATGGGGTTAGTTGTGTTGTGATTGCTTTCATTGTTATCTTCTCTCTTTCGTTTATGGCTGGGACCGCTGGGTTAAGTTTTCCTTGCGGAAAAGAGTTGAATGTGCTTTTACAGCCGGTAACCATAGTGCAACGAGTAATTGTCTCTATATCGAATGGCTAATTGTGGCCTAATTCACACTTATTCTTAGATGAAATGTAGGCTACCAAAGGGTATGGATTTTTCACAATTAATGATTTTCGGTGCGGCAGAATTTCTGCCATTTGATGCATTCTTATTGTTTTAGCAGTGACTTAGTATGTACCGTCATTTTTGTAGGTTCTTAGACAAAGGCAACACGGACTTGAAGGAAACTGCTCCTAGCACATGGACAATAGTGTCAGTGCAAGCCGCCGGAGGAATCATTGCAGGTACTACAGCTTCCTGCATCACGACTCCATTGGATAATATTAAGACTCGCTTACAGGTATTCTTCTGACCTTGTTGACATTAATTTTTCATCATATCTTTTTTCCTCTCTATGTTGACATATCTTTCTTTTAACTTTGCATTGTGATTTAGATCATTTCATTACTGAATCTGGAGTCACATCTTCTTTTGATAATTTATTTGATATTTCCTGTTATAAATATTGTGTGTAATTATAGTAAGTAATCGATTTTATTATTTGAAGATTGAAAGACATCTGCTCAAATTAGGACTAGAACGATTTCTGCATTTTGTTTTTCCTTTTCAAGATCTGAATAGTGATTATTTGGTTTGGTCGATATACTGCATATTTTCCATTGTTTTTGTTTTATTAAATAGTTGTTTTTGTGTTCCAGGTGATGGGGCATGAGAAACGACATTCTACAAGACAAGTCGTAAAGAGCTTAATTGCATATGATGGTTGGAAAGGTTTTTACAGAGGGTTTGGTCCAAGATTCTTCAGTATGTCAGCATGAGGAACCTCAATGATATTAGCTTATGAATACCAGAATACGGACCCTCTCGACTCGTTTACTTCTTGTCCTTCTAGTGCCAAAGTAATTATATTAGCATTGCTTGGTAGAGTTGAAAAATGGGAACAACGGAAACAAAATTTTACACGTAACTTCTCTCTCTCTCATTTTCTTTCCTCTTATCATTCCGATTTGGAATGATTTGTTTTCATGCATTAGGATGAAAAAATGTTCGTCTTTTTTATATTTGTCGACACAATTTTTCACCCGGGCGGGAAAAGATCGATACCGACTCGGGGATTTTATCTTTGAAAATAATTTTTAAAATGTGAGGAGTCGCCATCAATCATTTAAGGTGCGATTAAAACACCATAAAAACTGATGATTTTAATAAAACATTTTATTTTTATCAAAATACCAAGTTTTAGGGTATGCGAAAATTCAAAAATCGGGTTCGGGAGTCAGTTATGCGTGGGGAAGGATTAGCACCCCATAAGCGCCCAAAAATTGGTACCTAGTTGATCATCCTATATTTAAAATCATAAATTTTGAGTTCGATTTTTATTTAACTCGAAAATCATTACTGATGCAAAAAGTTGAAAAGGTTATTCGTTTATTAAAAGCGGATAGCAATTGCCCCCTAGCATAAACGCGGGAGATCAGCTATCGTGCTTGATAACCGAATATTGCCTCGATTTTAAAATCATCATGCGATATTTGAAAAGGATGTCGACCTATTTCGGGAATCACCAGTAGTCACCCCTGAGTATACTTGCAGGAGATGTACCATTAATTCACTAATAAGTGAACATTGCCTTAGGTTTGAAAATAGAATGTGATCAAACAAATTATTATTCGTCTTAATTAATCTAATGGCAAATTAAGGTTTTTTCTAGCTTAAAGTGTCAAATTATGAAAATTAAATGACCTAGAGGCATAAACCCTAAGGTGTAGGCTCTAATATGATTCCCTATTTCATTTTTAAACCAATTATTGAATCGAATAGCTGAGAAAGTCCCTCAATCATTTACGCAAAAGTCGACTCGGATTATTACCTAAATTAAGAGGAATATATTGAAATCTAACTAAAAGTGGAGGCTCTATTTAACCTATTTAATTATGTCAATATTAAAACTCTAATTGAAATTTGTAGCTAAAAGTGGAGGCTCTATTTAACCTATTTAATTATGCCAATATTAAAACTCTAATTGAAATTTGGGGACTAAAAAGGCAAGATCTAAAATATCGATTTCTAAAAGATCTAAAAGCTTAGGACCAAAATTGATAATTTTTAAAGTTGGGGTCTAATTAACAATCTAAATTCTAGATATTATCTAAATTATTAAACCTAAAGTTTTTTGTATAAAATATTAATTATTAATAAATTTTAAGAGTCGAGCAATCGATTCGACTAATCGGGTATCTTATACGAAAACTCGGCTCGAATTTCTCCCTAATTACACTAGAGTGCCATCTTAAATTCTAAGTTCGATTCGAGTGTTAATCTAATTTAAAATTAAATCTAAGAATTTAAACTATGAAATATTCAGACATTTAATAAACCTAATAAAAATAATAAATAAAAAACATAAAATAAAAATAAACATAAACATAAAATAAGGACCTAATTGCATAAATGTGAAATTACTAAACTAAATGAGAACAAATTAAACATAAATAGGACTAAATTAAAACAAATTGAAATTTGAAGTCTAAATCGAAATAAAATAAAAATAAATAGATTTAGGGATTAAAATGTAAAAACATGCGGAGGTTACAAGGACTAAAAAATAAATATACCAAAAAATATATATCATGCTTAAAGATGGGTAAATTACAAACTTAGCCCTTATTGGTGACATAATACAAGAACACACTAAAGTTAGGGGGTTAAAATACGAATAACCTAAAAAAATAAAAGTAAAACATGGAAAAGGTAAAATAGTAGTTTTGGTCCTTTCAGGGACCAAAATGCAAAAGCGCGACAAACCTGCAAGGGCTAAACACAATAAACCCCTAAACTCTTTCTATAAAAGCCAATCTTCCTTTTTTTTTATCAATTCAGTCGATGTTTTGAAAAAATTCAAAATGCTCTATTTTTTCCTTCGGGCGGCCCACTACCAGCAGCCTTGAATCCCTCCGTTCGCTACACACGGCGGTCGAAAAATTAATAAAAACTCCTAAAAGTTCACTGAACCTAGATCTACCCCTAGGACCATTTTAGGACTTAAAATCCCTCAAAACACCCTCAAACCCTAACAAACCGTCCAAAACGCTTCGACTACTCCGAATGTCGGTGACCCTCCTTGACTCGGGTACACTCCGATCTAAATATTTTTTTTTCATATTTGTTACTGTAAAATGGTTTGTTGGTTGATTGTTAGATTATATTCGATTAAGAAAATTGAAATCTATTTTATTTTTTTATTTGAACATCCAAAGGTTTTTTTAGAGAATCACTATATATATATATATATATATATATATATATATATATATATATATATATATATATATATATATATATATATATATATATATATATATACGAAATAGAAATGGATGGTTTCATTCGAACTAAAAAAAGGAAAATAATTTTTTTCTTTTTATCTACTGGGTTTCGAAATTAGCAGTAAGAACACACAAAAAAAGAAACGGAAACGAGTTACATTGAGTATAAAAAAATCAAAAGGATAAATAACCTTTGAAGTCAGTTATTGCTTGAACAGAATATTCCATTATTTTTTGGAGGATTTTTCGAATCCCTTTTACATTATTTTCGATCGAGTCTTATACCCATTTTTTTAAAGAGAAAATTGAAATCATTGTTTTTTGTTTCTTTTCATTTGTTTCCTACAGGTTACGTGTTTGCTTGGTGGCTTCGTTGGAATTGGAACAGAAAAGGGTAGCCCTCAGTTAGGTATTGGGGCGGTTGTTACTGATTGGGGGATTGAGCGATGACAAAGGAGAGCTTAGGGTGAAAGAAACCCTATTGGGTTTGGGTCTCATCTGGGTCGAGCTGTTGGGCTATGGGTTTAAATCTAGTTTTTAAAATTTGGGGTTGTTTGAGTTGGTTTAGGCTTGGTTGTAAATGGGTTATTGGCTTGTAGTATAATAATAATAATAATACATGGTAGATTTGAAAATGGTGATTACAGATGCCCCTCTTTGCTCATTATAGTGAAACGGGAGTGAAGCAAAGATAAAAAACATTATTTTTCATCTTGATCTCTTCTTGTCACTCTGCGAACTCTTTGTTGGGAATGTCAATTCATCTCTTTCTATGAAACCGTCGAGTCTTTGCTGCAAATGATGTCATCTTTGCTTCGTTCTCTTGGCCGAGTCTCCGTCTCTAGTTCTTCACGCTACGGGCTCTTCTCATCATGATCTTTTCATTGGAAATGTTGATCCCTCGAGTGAGGTGTTATTGATTCGACGTGTTGTGAATTGAGCAATAGGAAATGTTAACCCTTCTGGGGGGCATTGCTGATTCAAAGCATTGTGAATTGAGAAAAGAAAATGTTAACCCCTCTGGTGGGGCGTTTCTGATTCGAAGTATCATGAATCAAGCAACGAAAATGTTGAAAACATCCTGCCCAAAGGTCTTATGGATGGCCCGAAGGACTTATCATCTTGCTCGAAAGACTTATAGATGACCCAAAGGATTTAAGCATCATGCTCGAAAGACTTACTGATGACCCGAAGAACTTAAGTTGATTCGAAGTGTTGTGAATCGAGCCATAGGAAATGTTAACCCCTCTGGTGGAGCATTGTTGATTTTAAGTGTTATGAATCGAGCAACGAAAATGTTGAAAACATCCTGCCCCAAGGTCTTATGGATGGCCCGAAGGACTTATCATCTTGCTTGAAAGACTAATAGATGACCCAAAGGATTTAAGAATCATGCTCGAAAGATTTACTAAAGGCCCGAAGGATTTAAGCTGATTTAAAGTGTTTGAATCAAGCCATATGAAATGTTAACCCCTCTGGTAGGGCATTGCTGATTCGAAGTGTTGTGAATCGATTAAAGGAAATGTTAACCCCTCTGGTGGGGTGTTGTTGATTCGAAG